TTTGAGAAAGCAGATTGAGTTCTTCCCTTATTATTCTCTAATTCCATCTCTCTGCACATTCCATTATAATAACATGTTTTGTCTCCTCAAGTTGCCTTTTAAAATTTTTAGTTTAGTCCTATTACTTTGGCATATTTCCCCCCTTTTTTTGTGTACATTTTTCTTAGTGCAATTTTCAGAGTCTCTTCTGACATCCATTTAGGATTTTTTCTTTCTCCTCTGTCTTTGTAATCACCTTTTGTTCTCTTCATGGATTATATCCTTGACATCATCCCACAGCTCATTTGGTCTTCATTCATTACTATTCAATGTGTCTAACCTATAAAATAATTTTGAAATAAAAAATAGATTAAAAAATCATATTTTGGTTCTTGTGGACTTGTTTGAATTTTCTTTGGCCTCAATTTGAACTTGAACATGAGTAATGATCTGACTCTCAGTCGGGCTGCCCTAATTCTGACTGCTGATATTGAGCTTCTCCACCGATTCCTTCCACAGTGGTAGTCAGTCTGATTCTTATGCAATCCATCAGGTGAGATCCATATGAAATCGACTGTGTTGCTGGTTTTTTAAGAGGTATTTGTAATTAAGAAATTATTGAAACTACAAAATTTTATCATTCTAGCCTTATTTCTGTCACCAAGTTCATATTTTCCAACTTCTATTCCTCTTAATTGTTTCTAACTTTTGTATTCCAGTTACTAAAAATTATCATTAACACATCTTGATTGTATGTTTGGTCAATTTTAGACTGTAAGATTTGGTAAAAATTTCCAACTTCTTCCTCTTTGGCTCTAGATGTAGGAGTATATTTTTTAATAATAGTTGTATTAACAGGTCTTCATTGTATGTGTATGAATAATATCCTATCACTCACAACATCGTATTTCAGGATAGAATTTGAAACTGACTTTTTACTATGGACATAATACCATTCTTTTTATGTCTTTCATTCCCAGCTTAGTATACCATGAAGTAAAACATCTTTAATTTCTAGTTTAATATACTACATGATTATCTGATTCAAAGTGGCCAAAGCTAGTCCATCTAAGGTTACTAATGCCTAGAACGTTGATGTTCATGTGCTACATTTTATTTTTCCACTGTTTCTAGGTTTCCAACACCCAACCTACATACTTTCCATGTTCTAATTATTAAAGAATATTTGCTTTTATTTTTCCTCATTTTAACTGACTTCCAGTCTCGGCCTTAACAGTAACATTATATTCATATTCCTCTATTGTTCATGAGGTTTTCAGATGCATAGGTGTTTATTAAAATTATACTCTCTTAAGATTAATCCTTTAATCATTATATAGTATCTTTTCTTTTCCCATACTAGTTTTCAAGTTGAAGTATATTTTTTCAGAAACTAATATTGCTGCTCTTGTTCTTTTTTTGATATTGTTTGTTATATTCTCTTCTCCATGCTTGGATTTTTATATTAATTTTTACCTTTGTGCCTAACATGAATGTTTTAGAAGAAACATATTGCTGTACTTTTTTCTTATCCATCTTGACACTTTCTCTCTTTACTGGTTCACTGAAATAATTTGTCTTTAGTGTAATTATTATGTAAGAATTTACTGCTGCTGTTTTTTTTTCTAGTTTTTTATTATTATGACATTGCTGATTATTTATTCTTTATTAGTATTTATATATATTTATTTATATTTTTATTTTTATTTATCTGTACTGTTCTTGGGTCCTTAATTTCCTTCATCTTGTTTTGTATTTACTAAGTTCTTATATTTTTTTACTTTCTAGTTTTAAATGAAAGATTATTCATTAACTCTGTGGTTACTCTATATATAGTTTTTATCTTCCTAAATAGAGCCCTAATACCATAGTCTTTAGGGAGTTGTGGCTTGTTATGCAAATGTGGAAAGCTTCACCTCTCTAGCAACTTAAAACTACCAGTGACTCCTTGGAAGAAAAATCCACAATCTTCTCCCATGTGACTTACCACCTCCAAAAAACTGCTGTAGTGTCAGCTATGAGTTGATTCCAACTTGGTGGTAATGACAGAGAAATATTTTAATAAAATATTAGAAAAGGATACAGTAGGTGTGGTTAACTACGTACAGTTTGAATATGAAATTTATGAAGTTAATTAAAAATGTGAATTAATAGATGAGAGACAGGATATCATGATAGCATAAATCCTCCATCAGGTTAAATTTCAGACTTGGATAACACAGTCCTAACTTGAGGTACAGATTTCAGACTTTCCTTCTTATTTTGGCTATTATTTTACCACCTTTTTCAACTCAATGTCTACCAACTGGCCCTATGAATAGCTATAATTATCTGAAAAATTTTTGTCTTTATATACTAACAATGTATCTTGATTAGTACAGGACAGAGCAGGATTTGGGAAGATGTACATAGTGTCATTATGAGTTGCAGGGACTCGATGGCACATAACAACAACAACATGGATCATGTAGCCTAATTATAATTACAAATGAACAGCCCTATGGCAATAAAGAAGACTTTTACTCTTTTTGAAAACCAGAACTGCCACCCAAGCAGATATATGCACACCCATGTTTATTGTGGCTTTGTTCACAATAGCAAAGAGTTGGAAACAACCCAAGTGCCCATCAACAA